CAGCAATCTAGCATGAAAACAAGCACCGTTGTGCCGCAGCGTTAGAAGTTGTCATAAACTACAAAAGTACTAGATGATCGTGCCTATCATAATTTTCGGGCCTAGTGGAATTAACTCTAAAGGTGCCAATACATGGGAGCGTTCCAGCGTCGAGCGTTAAAGCGTTAGCCAATCAACGTATCAAGTCCCAGAAGTATACTTGTAGTTCTTGCGGAAAGTGGCACGTTGATTGGCTACCGCTTTAACGCTCAACGCTCGATGCTCCCATGTAAAGATACCGTTACTCTAATGGCTCCTGCACACAGGACGCGGTAATGCTTGCCGCGCGGCGGAAGTCTGTGCGACAGCTAATCAATATGTTGTTTTTCCGTAAGAGTTAGAAGGTTATTACGGAAAGCAGCATATTGATTGGCTGTCGCGCGGCACACATTACCGCGTCCTGTGTGCAGAAGCCATTGGTCTACCGCTGCGATTGTTTCTCGCCTATGGTGAGACAAGAAGTACGGTCCAGAGGGCGCTACAAATACTTTGTAGTGTTTTTACTTCTTTCTCTTTCTTCATTCGAATCAGAAGGAATAGAACAAGAGGGAGAAACACTGCGCAGCATTTGTAGTGGTTGTTGGATTGCACCTAAGAACAGATAATGTTGATTAGCTGTCTTTGTCTAACGTCAAGAATCGTGGACATTACTTCTTTACCTACTGAGACAATTCGTGCACATTAGCTACGTAGTTTATGGACACGGTTAGTTAGAGGCGCTGTAAGCCATTTCAGCTGAAATCGGGATCAGCTAAAACCGGCCCATGACCCTTCTCCTTCTTCTCTCTGATATTACACTCACTCACCAATTTTTTATATCTTTCTTGTATTAATACTAAGGATGCTACAGATTTTGGCGTTAGGCTCTTAAAAATTTTTAATTAATTAAAATATAGACTCGTACTGCATCTCAAGCTAATGTTCATTCATTATAATTTAAAGCATAAAATAGATAAAATAGATCATTTTTTCCAACATTTTCTCCCAAAAAACGCTCTGTCGCACCCTTGGGATTATTTTCCTGATTATGAATATCACAATTATATTACGATTTTCTCTGTAGTTTGCTCAAAATTTGGCCAAATACCAACGTTAGTTTTGAGTCCTCCGCGAGATGTCTCTACTTGGGCTCCAGTAGACCCTTAATTGGGTGGAACCCGATTGACCACGATACGATTGGACACAGATTGTAATGATTGGTTCGACCTAGTAATTCACTAGATAATTCTTTTCATCGGTTGGTTGTGTCCAATCGTACCGTGGTCAATCGGAACGCTCCCCCCTTAATTCCCCCTACTTTTCAGAACAAGTTACAAGAGATAAATGATGAAAGGGCCAATGAGAAAGCTCTGCAACCAGAGAGAGAGAGAGAGAGAGAGAGAGAGAGAGAGAATTTTAGTGATTGGAACCAAGCAGGTCAAAACCAAAGTGCATTGATTAGTTGAAATCTAATCTTCAATCCGTAATCCTCAATTTCTAATCCGTAGTGTGACACGAGCTTTTACCGATTTGCTAACTTGTAATGGCTCCTGCACACAGGACGCGGTAATGCTTGCCGCGCGGCGGAAGTTCGCGCGACAGCCAATCAATATGTTACTTTCCGTAATAACCTTCTAGCTCTTACGGAAAAACAACAATATTGGGTGATTTCCAGTTACGTTTTGCGTACATATCTGTCAAGATGTGTTAAGCAATTTGAAAGCACCCATTGATTGGCTGTCGCGCGGACTTCCGCCGCGCAGCAATCTTTACTGCGTCCTATGTGCAAGAGCCTTAACTGTTATCACGGCGAAGTCGAGTGACAGTTCGCGCAAAAACATAAGAGCGGCCACAGCCCTGATTTCAGCGGCTAGAGCTAGGCGCATTTTAGATACGTCATCTAACCAAAATGCGCCTAACTACGTCCGTCAGGCGCACTTTCGCAGTGTAAACTTCCATATAATGATATTAAGTTAGAAAAAGACAGACGTCCAATCGCTCTGTTCTTGTCTCACCACTGATGAGCGACCGCGCGACGTAATACATGAAGCAAGTTAGTGGAGATCTTATCGCAAAGCTAGATCATCTCTCATCAATCTCGTCTTTCACGCGCTGCGTTATGCGTAATTTTGGAAGGAAAATTTGAAAAATGGATAATATGAAACAATAAATAAATATACAAAATTTATGTATACAACACGTTAAATATTTGATTTAATGTGGGAGCACGATATATATATATATATATACAGGGTGTCCCATTTTAAAAGATACAACCCAATATTTCGAAAACTAAAACCGGCAGACCAAAATATTTCAGGCAAAAGTTATATGGATCGTTGGGGGACATAATAAGGTACCATTGATTTGACCTTGCGTGACTCCGCCAAGGTTAGGTCAAGGTCAATTTTGCTTTTTTAAATAGAAATATATATTTTTTATATTACAAAATTTTATTCTACGTAAAGAAGCAAACAACTTTTGTTTGAAAACATTTTTTATCCGACCTTTATTTTCTAAGATATTTACGGAAATATCTACAAAATTACTAGTTTCAATAATTTTTTACTCAAATTCTGTTAACTTTACCAGAAAATAGCAAGAAATAACAATTGTCTATTTTCTTCTCATTTAGCTCTGAGATTTCTTCCGAATTTTTAATTAATTTTTTAGTACTTTAAGAAAATGAAAGGAAATGCAGTACTAAAAAGTTAATTAAAAATTGTGAAAAAATTTCATAGCTAAATGAGAAGAAAATAGACAATTTTTATCTCTTGCTATTTTTTGGTAAAGTTAATAGAATTCGAGTAAAAAATTATTGAAACTAGAAATTTTGTAGATATTTCCGTAAATATCTTAGAAAATAAAGATCGGATAAAAAATGTTTTCAAACAAAAGTTGTTTGCTTCTTTACGTAGAATAAAATTCTGTAATAAAAAATATATATTTCTACTTAAAAAAGCAAAATTGACCTTAACCTGACCTTGGCGGGGTTACGCAAGGTCAAACCAATGGTATCTTCTTATGTCCTCCATCGATATAACTTTTGTTTGAAACATTTTTGTCTGCCGGTTTTAGTTTTCGAGATATTGGGTTGTATCTTTTAAAATGGGACACCCTGTGTGTGTGTGTGTGTGTGTGTGTGTGTGTGTGTGTGTGTGTGTGTGCTCCCACATTAAATCAAATATTTAACGTGTTGTATACATAAATTTTGTATATTTATTTATTATTTCATATTATCCATTTTCCAAATTTTCCTTCCAAAATTACGCAGAACACAGCGCGTGAAAGACGAGACTGATGAGAGATGATCTAGCTTTGCGATAAGATCACCGCTAGCTCGCTTCATGTGGTACGTCGCGCGGTCGCTCATCAGTAGTGAGACAAGAACAGAGCGATTGAATGTTTGTCCTTTTCTAACTTACTATCATTATATGGAAGTTTACACTGCGAAAGTGCGCCTGACGGACGTAGTTAGGCACATTTTGGTTAGATGGCGTATTTAAAATGCGCCTAGCTCTGGCTGCTGAAATCAGCCCGGTGGTCGCTCTCATGTTTCTCTCTGGTTCGCGTGTATGAGAATGGAGTTATAACGAGGTTATATTTTTAATGTATAATAGTTTTAAAAGTTACGAAGTGTGTTTGCCGCGATAATCTTGAAGAAAAGCTATATAATTAACAAGTATAATATCAGATAAGTATTGGCGAATGCATAAAAATATATAACGATGTAAAACTTTAATACTTTGTGTTGTTTTTACTTTTTATAGCTAAATTAAATAATAAGGAGATAAAAGAGAAAGGAAAAGGAGAAGAAAAAAAAAGAGAGAATGTGTGAAAAGAAATGAAGAGAAGATAGAAAAAATGAAGATAAATGATGAGACGGTAAAAAACCAACAAGATGAAAAGACAAGAGGAATATATGAGTAAGAGAATGAATAAATAAAAGGGTAGATAACAAATAAATAAATAAATTTTTTGTCTGTCGCGATAATAAATAAGTACCCATACAGTACAAAATCTCCTGGCGACGTCTCAGAGATGTCCTAAGGATGTAGAAACATCCCAGGACATCCTCAGGACGTACTCTGGATATCTTCTAGACATCTGTGCTGTTAACGTATTGCTTTATATAATATAGGATAACTTATAAGGATATAGAACTAGGATTCTTTGTTGTTTGTACTTTTATTATTTTTAAACAAGATATAAATAAAGGAAGTAAGAAAGAAAGTACAGAAAGCGGGAAGAAAAAGAGGAAATATAAGGAGAGAAGACAGTACACAGATATATGAGGAACAGAAAATAGAAACGAAGCAAGAAGATAGAAAATAGAGAGATGCAAGATAGTAAAATAGGAAAGGTTACTTTTTAAAAATAATTTATTATTATTCATTATATTTATTATTATTTATTATTATTACTCGTTATTCATCAGAAAAGTACATTGTTACTGTTACTTGAATACTATTACTTTGTGTTGTTTTTATAGGTAAATTAATAAGAAGATAAAAAAGGAAGGAAAAGAAAAAGAGAAGAAAAGAAAGAGAGCAAGGAGAGAATGTGCGACAAGAAATAAAGAGAAGACAGAAAAAATGAAGATAAATGATAAGACCATAAGAGAGTAATAAAACCATAAGAGAGCAAGAAGGAAAGACAAGAGGAATATATGAGTGTGTAAGAGAATGAATAAATAAAAGGATAGATAATAAATAAATATTTTTTTGTTTGCCGCGATAATAAATAAATATTGCTTTACGCGATAATAAATAAATATTGCTTTACGCGATAATAAATAAGTATTGCTTTATATTATAATATAGGATAATTTACAAGAATATAGAACTAGAATACTCTTCATGTTGTTTGTAGTTTTAAACAAGTTAATTATTATTTTTAAACAAGGTAAGAAGAAAGGAAGAAAGAAAGTACAGAAAGCAAGAGAAAGAAGAAAATATAAGGAGAGAAGATAGTACAGATATGTAACAGAAAATAGAAATGAAGCAAGAAGATAGAAAACAGAGTGATGCAAGGTAGTAAAATAGAAAAGGTTACTTTTTAAAACTAATTCATTATTATTATCCTTTATTCACCAAGAAAGTACATTATTATCGTTACATTTCATTACTAAATAAACATAAAAAGAGAGCTAAATGCAGTAAATATTGAACTATTAGAAGAAAAATAGTACGAGAAATAAATACTGTGAGAATAAAAAAGTGAAAAAGAAAATATATATTACCGATTTACCGACTCGTAATTTATTAAATTAAATAGGTTGTATAGACGTCGGAATATAAATAATAAAATAATAAATAAATAAGAAATAATAAAATATAATAAAATTAAATATGATAACGTAAATACAAAAAATAAAATAATAAATAAATAATAAAAGAGAAAGAGAGATAGACATATTTTTTTATAAAAATGAATTATGAAATAAAATTTAAAGAACCTGCTTTTTATGTACACCTTAATATTTAAAATTTCCAAGTTCAACGTATAAAGTTATTAACAAAGAAATTCATTTTCTTATTTAATTATTATTTTATTTATATTCCGACGTCTATATAGCCTATTTAATTTAATAAATTACGAGTCGGCAATCGTAATATATATCACCTTTTTTCTTTTTCACTTTTTCATTTTTTTTATTCTTATCGTATTTATTTTTCGTTCTGTTTTTCTCCTAATAGTTCAATATTTATTGCATTTAGCTCTCTTCCTCTGTTTGTCTAATAATGAAATGTAATATTAACAACGTACTTTCTTGATGAATAACGAGTAATAATAATGAATTAATTTTAAAAAGTAACCTTTCCTATTTTACTATCTTGCATCACTCTATTTTCTATCTTCTTGCTTCGTTTCTATTTTCTGTTACATATCTGTATTATCTTCTCTCCTTATATTTTCTTCTTTTTCCCGTTTTCTATACTTTCTTTCTTTCTTCCTTTCTTCTTACCTTGTTTAATATTATTTTGTAAAAAAAGATGTGATATAAAAACCAAATTACTTTTTCAAAAAAAAAGTAAAAAAGAAGCCAAATGCACGCGCCTTAGCATTATTTGTCTTTACAAAAAAAGAATCGTTATAAACAAATTACAACAAAAGTTCAGCTAAAAGATATTTAAAAAATATCATTAAAACAACCTTATTTAGATCAATTGTACTTTCGCGAATACTCTATTGAAAAATACAAGACAATTTTATACTCCCTACAAAAGTAATGATATCAGAAGGTTTACACCAATTGCGAATGATTAATCATTTCAGTTCTTACTTTTATATATATGTGTGGTTTTGACTATATAATATATTTATAAATTAAATATATTATTAATATATTAGTAATATATTATTAAATAAAAAATAAAATTAGAGAAATACAATAATGTTAAAAAAAATATATAATTACACATACTTGTTTATTCAAAAAATATATTTCTCGCGATAAGTATAGATGCGTGTGAATTATATCATCCCGACCTCTAATCTCCAGTTCTAAAAAATATTTAGAAAACAACTGACAAATCTGTTATTACATTAATACACTTGACTTGATCTGTTGCGTCTCATAGCCATCGCTAGGTATATGTGCGTGACGCATGTGTATGTTATGAATTATTTATGTTCTCGTACACTACGTTATCCTTTCGAGCGGAAGTAGACAAAGAAAACACACAACGATAACGACGATAACGTTGATTTTGTATCACTCATTCGATATAAAGAAATAATTATGCGAAATATCAAGATCAGACTTTCGCGGAAAGTCACGATTATACGTGAGATAAGCCACGTGAGGTCGATGACGACGAAATAAGGAATCTTACCACGCAATCTTATCTATACTTATTTGCACTCTTTCTTCGCAATCTTCCCCACTAACATGATAGTACCAACTTACCTGCTGATAATACATATAGTTGTAACCGTCTCACTTATGCCGGAGTCCTCTATTCTGCGGCTCCTTTCTCTCGTACGCTCGTTATATCGGATGTCGTTGACGCACGTTGGGAGCTCCACCCCTCTAAGTTGTGTGGTTGATAACGTAAACTAAAGTATTGATATTGCTTGCAATACGATGATTTCCGTTGAGCGAGACGGAACGGGATATCTGGAGGTACAAGGTGATTTTTCGTCATCGGCGGCACTGCTAATGCTTGCACTGTTACCCGTCAAGTGACTGGCAGCAACGGGCAACAATTCATTCAGCTTCTCCGAACGTGGTCTGTGATTCCCAGTTCCCACTCGACTCGCGATCCACTCCGCTTCACTATAACACCACGAGGAGGTAACAGCCTGACCGACCTTCGGTAGGAAAACGTCCGCCGCTAGCTATGTGGGAAAACGCCGGCGTTTTCCTACCGTCGAATTTCGCATAGACGAAGGGTAGGGAGATCAGCACCAATCCAAGTAGACGCGATGAGCTAAAACAGTCGAAGGCCGTTCTTCCTATTGAAATTCATATAATTGACTCAGTTGACTATTACTAAGCCACGCTAAACTTTCTTTCTCTCTCCATAAGGAAGGACTGTGACAAAATTGACACGTTTCAATGGAACAATCTTTTGAGTTTTCGTTGGAAATTTTGATAAAAATTTGAAAGGAAATCTTCCGCAATGACGGAGTAAGTTCCGAAAATTTGAATAATTTCAATTAGTTACTGATTATTTTGTCCAAAATAGTGCACAACAATTAAAATGAGATAAAATAATGTAAATAGAAGACTTATTCTTCAACGAAAAAAACGCTAAAACATTTTGACAATAATTAAAATTGAATTAAATAAAAAAATTTTCTTCAATAATAATTAAACAAATCAAACAACAGAGAAACTCCTGTCTGATAATACCATATTTTCTATGAATATTCTATATACATTGGCCCATATTCTGAATCCTCTTTTATCTATAAAAGTGCCTCTAAAAGAGGTTTAAGAGCCACCTGATTGACTGAAAAGCTACATTTAAAGCACTTTTATCGATAAAAGAGGTTTCAGAATATGGGCCATTATGTACAATTTTTTTTTTTCGTGAGAATATTCTCATAAAATTATATTATTCCTCATTAAACTTTGCAATAAAAGCTATAATATTAACAAAAAGAAAAAAGAATAATTTATAAACATAATCAGGGCAGTAACTAGTTAATCACTTAAAAATTAAGTTAAAAGGTTAATAACTTTTAACTTAGTCAATTTTAAATTAGTTAATTTTTAGTTTAGACTTTTAACTTAGCTTTTATTTTTAACTTATTATTTAGTTTTTATTTGTAACTTTTAACTTAACTAAGTTACTTTTATAAATTAACTTTATAAACTTATATTTAAAAAAAATTAACTTATCCAATTCCTGATAGAATAATATTTCACTTATGCAGAAGATTATGTATAGATTGAAGGATTTTTATTTGTGATGTAAAATTATTTGTAATAAATAAATACTTTATAATTAGAAATAATATCTAAAAGATATTATTTCTAATTATAACACATATTCATAAAATATGATCTAATCTTTTTGTTGCGACTAGTCGTTACGAAATTATAACTGTGGTTGAACATTTTGTTATCCAAGTATTTAAGTTAGTACATAATCAGATTCTATATAAGAATATCAATTTGTGAAAGTTTTGCACTCAATAATAATTACATTGTTTCAAAAGTAACTCATTGTTTCAACTTAAATATATAGAATTGTTTCAAGAGTAACTACATTGTTTCAACTTAAATATATAGAAGGATCTTTAGAAAATAACTTTCTTTATAAAGTAATAAAATCTTTATAATAATAATAAAAATAATAATAAAAAATAATAAGAAAATAAAGATCAATGTATCGCAACAAATAAATAGATATTCTATCTTATGTATACCTTATTGCCTGTACTATCTTTGCACAGTATCACAAATAGAACATAAAAAGTATATATCTTTTTAGTAATTTATTTTTTTTATGTAATTTCATTATTTTGCAGTTGAATTTTGCTGCTTTATGAAAGCGTGCATACACATATATTTCGACGATATCGCGTTTATATCAATATATCTAATACCTGCATTCGTTAAAACACTAAACCATTTTTTCTATTTCTATGACAAGTTCAACTAATTTGCTTTCCTAGATTTAAGTGCTAAGTACTCGTATGGACGTGTACGTATTATTTATACTTTAGTGCCAAGTCTAACAACTTGGTCACTTTATAATATTATGTACTCACCACTAACAAACACACATGCTCAGCAACAACGTCGTGGAAAATTTATCTGTGATATATATTACTACTGAGACTAACCATAGGTTTATCATGCGACATGCGGTGGGGATATCAGTACTAAAGAGATTGTCTTTCTTTGTAACATTCTGATAAACTTGTCTCGTGTACTTAACGTGCGCAATTCTTATTAACCTTTCGCATGCTATATAGCAAAAAATATCATATAGAGCTATGTAGGATTACAGAATCCCGAAAATTGAGTCGCGTGCGACAATTCAATACATAACACTTTGTTCTATATAATAAATTTAACTATATAATAAATTTAGCTACATCATAAATTTAACTTTATTTTAGCTATATAATAAATTTAACTTCTCCCAAAAAAAATTTAAATACCATAATTTTTCTACCGTTTTATTAGGTAATAAACTCCACACAGCACACAAAAAGTTAAAAATAAAATAATTAGTAAATAATGTTATTCTCCTATCTGTAACTCATTGTATTCATGAAATTATGATTACTAAAATATAATATAATTGTTACTATAGGTTGACTATTAAATATATAAAGAATATTGTAACATTTTTTTATTTATCTATTGTTTAATCGTGTGATATATATCTAATATATTTTCATAAAATTACGCCATCAGTATTAAATGCATACATGTAAATAATAACTAATATCATAGTATATTCTACAAATGTGATAACATGTGTTTAATATATTATATTTCTTATAATATTTCTTATTATATTTCTTATAATGAAGAGTACCCAGTGAGCAAAATGAGTGCAAATTGAGCGCGAATTGGCAGCAAGTTCGAGCAAAACTTGATTCCAAAACCGTAGCCAACTGTGCCCTCTTTCGGCTTGTGTTTTGACATCAAGGCTTGGTGCCGGGTAATATGCAGCAAATTTGCAGCAAAAACCGCGCAATTTTTACAGCGCATAACTTTGCACCAAATAGGCACCAAACACCGAGCAACGTTTGCGCACAAGAGCAAATTAGCAGCAAATTCGCAACAAGCCTTGCACTCAATCAGCGTCAATACATATATATATATATATATATATATATATATATATATATGACCTATTGAAACTAAGGTCATAAAAATATTTATGAAATATTTTGGCAAATATTTATAAAATATTCAAATAAATCTTATAAATATTTTGTAAATATTTTATAAATATTTTGTGCTGTCTATATATATATACCCAGTAAGCAATCTGCGCGCAGACTGACGTCAGACTGTCGACAAGATCTGTCGAATCCGAGCAGGATCTGTCGACAGATCCATAGACATCTGCGTCCCCAATCTGCCGCCAGACTGTTGACAGGGTCTGCGAACAGACTCTGACGACAGACTGGCGGCAGATTGCGCGCAGAGCCTGTCGACAGACTTTGACGGCAGATTGGCGGCAGATTGCGCGCAGATCCTGTCGTTTCGTAGGTTCTCCAATTAAATTTTCTCATAATTTTTCATAATTACTCATAGAATGAGCGTTTTCTTATAAATACTCATAAAATACTATGAAAAAAAAGTTTTTCTATATTATTTTTTCATAATTTTTAAGATTTTCTCTGGTGAGATTCGAACTTGAACCGAAGACATCTTTTGGATAATCGTTCGTCGCCTTAGACACTACGCCAATTCCTCACTTGATAAAAAGTGCTTTGTATTGCCCACTTACAGGTTAAGGAAAAAAAATCTTATAGTTTGTTTGCTTTTTAAATCGCAAAATATCGACGAAACCGTTTAGCATATAAATAATGTAAGAGAGACCGGCACGATAATTCGAAATTAATTTTCTACCAAGGACTGTATAGAAAATTACTGCAATAAAACAGCAGATAATGACATTTTTCCATCATGTTAATAAAATACTGTACTTTTGCATATGCGAATTAATTTGGTCGAT